TCCTCCTCCTCCTCCTCCTCCTCCTCCCGCTCCTCCATTTTATTCTTTCATGCTAATTGTGTGAAAATGTATGAAATTTCTTTAAGTTACCTTCAAATATTATATCAGTGATAAAAGGAGAATTCAATTGTGATTGGAACATTAGAAATTGGAGTGGAATTTGTGTTCATTCTGAGATATTTTTAAAATCAATTTTTATTACAATTGCAATAGTGGCAATCTGCGGTAAAAGAGGGCTTATTTTTAGGGGATATTTTTAATATTTAAGGTACTAACACTACTTGCATGTGCAATACACTTTTATAAAGGGGGCCTGGATACACGTTCTGAAGGAGGACCACCATGCTTTGAGTTATGTTACTGAATTGCACGCAATATTCCCATCATTGCCCATAGTTTAAAAATGCATTGCTCTTGTTTACATTTGTTTATTCTTTGTTTCAACTAAATGTTACTCTAGTATTCTGTTTTTAAAATACATTTTCTGCAAAATTACTCTTACCCCCTTGTACTAATTACTCAGTTTTGGACTCAGAAATTATTAATTGTGCTCGAGTTATTTTGCAGGGTTTATTTGCAAGAGAATGTTATAAAAAATATGATTTCCTTTTATAGGTATCCTATGCCCGGCCTAGCAGTGAAGCAATTAAAGGTGCTAATCTGTATGTGAGTGGACTTCCTAAGAACATGACCCAGCAGGATCTGGAGAATTTGTTCAGTCCCTATGGCCGCATCATTACCTCTCGCATCCTGTGTGATAACATCACAGGTGAGATTAATATTCTTTATTCTTAAGTGTCTTCATATGTCTTGTGAATGGATGACGGAAAGACTGACTTTGACTTGATGCGTCACATTCTCTCCGCCTACCTCCTTGCCTGTTTGCTTTTTGGACCTTGAAAAATTCTCATTTTGCATGAGACCTCATGCAGGCAATTTCAGTTGAATACCATAATTTCAATGATTTTTGGAAAGTATTGTTGTTAGTTAATCAGATCTTGACATGTATTCTAGTTCTGTTAGACTTTCAGAATCTATTAATCAAATTCCATGCCATGCATTGAGGAATGTGCATGCACAAACAAAACTGTTCTAGCCTTAATGTAGAACCATCTGCATAATCAGGAATGTATTTTAGATTTGTCCCAGCTTTCCCAGGCCAGTGGTATTTTAGATGTAGTTTGAATTATAAAAAATTAAAATTGTTTTTGGAGAAATATGCATAATTCCTTAAATTTGTGTATGTACATGCTACACACTGATGCTTTTGTCACAAATAAATGGTTTGTTTCAAGTTCCAATTGAAAGTGCCCTCTTGTGTTGCTCCTACTCATTTTTGTTTCTGTTCTTTCATGAAACCTTGTTAGGAACGAATTATTTTTTGTGTACCTACAAGATCTAAGCAGCAACCAAGCAGAGACACTGCATTACGAAAGAAAGTCCTGTGCTCTGAGTGAAAGATGCTTCAGCACATTTTTTTCCTTGTTTTCCGTAAATTGCACCTTTCTTTTTGGAAATCCTCTCTTCTACGAGAGAAAGAGTAAGGGTGAGAGTTACAGGAACATTTACTGATGCATTCACAACACACTGTAGTTTATCTAAGATTTATGCTTTTTATTATTACCTGCCAGATAAACTTTCACATGCTTATTTTGATCCCTTGGTAGAGGAAAACTTATATTTACAATTTCATGTAACTTTCTTTGCTACAAAATATTTCAAGTCAAAATTTAATATTTCTCAAAAAATGATGTACAATATTGCCTGTTTCTTATTTTACCTGCTTTCAGTGTACGAAATTGTGCCCTTTTTCTTTCTTCTTTTCTTTTACATTCTGAAAATTTCTCGAGCCCTTTGAATTTGAAAAATTAAATTATTTAATAAATTTAAATAGTTTTTCCTTTCTTATTTCAGTTTTTTCTCTTCTTATCATTCATCTCATTCTTCTCAATACCTCTTTAGTAATTATTTGAAGATGATTTTTTAATGTTTTCAATTCTTGATAAGGTTTTGAAAGTTATACTAGACAAACTAGACAAAATATTTCTTCCTTTAAAACTGGCTACAATTTGTTGCATTTAGTGAAAATTTTCTTAAAATCTGCTGTTGAGAAAACAATGATTGAAATAAAGGATACATAGACTTATCAGCAGTGTGTTTATATCGTACCAAAATTGCATAATTATTTAAGAAATAACACCAAAAAAAAAATCATATTAAGTTCTCAAACTAATTAGGATGATCAAACCTCTGAGATGATTTGGGAGTATAACATTTCAGGTGCTGTTAGCTTTGCTTTCATTTGAATTCCAAATTATTGGTACTTATTAGTACTTATTAGTATTGTTTCTTGCTTTTCTAACTTACAAAGGACAAATGACTGGACATATTCCAGACCTTTTAATTAAGAATTAAAAGGGTGCTTGATTTTCAGACACTTCTGTTCCCCCCCCCAAGAAAGGAGAAAATATATTAAAAGATATGTAATATTACTAAAGCTTCATTTAATATAAGTCAAATTTTTACTGTAAAGACAAAATTGGATAGAATTATATTACATTGTGTAAATAATTCTATGGTCTCTAGACACCTCCTTTAAGTCTTCTCAATAATACAATCTACTCTGTTCTCAGATAGTTAACACAGTTTTAGCCAGCAGGAATGATTTATTTAGACTGGATAGATTTTATTATCTATTTTGTTTTTTAATTTTAACATGGATAAGAATTGAAGGCAGAAGGGTAAACTGAAGTGTGTTTATGCACTTCTAATTTATGATAAAACTGATTCACTCATATGCACTTAATTTCTCTTGTATAGAACGTTGTAATATAAATCCTCATAACTTTGATTATACAGTACATTTATTAACATCAAATAAAAAGATAAATGTCTTTTAATATAGAAATGAGAAAATTATTCTTTTTTTAATAAAACACATTTATTATATTCCTAATTTTGTGAACAATTGGGGGGGAAATGTTAACGCGTTCGGACTAAAGCATATTATTGAGCACACAAATATAATCGATGTTATATCAATACTAATGAAATGAGGTGTCCTGGTGAAACAATTGTACTTTAAACAAATTATTACAATTATAGAGAAATTTATTTGTGAATTTTGATATTTTTTTAATTTTGATGAACAAATTTCTCTGTTATTAAGAAACATTAAAGAAAGTGTAAGTGATTGCTTATAATTCACCAGAAAACCTCTACCTGTTCATTGCTTAATACAATCACATGAAAATTATTTTAATAACCAATGCCAATATGAATAGTTCTCATTTGTTTGAATCATTTCCATAATTTCCCTGTACTTACGTGCTCTAAAAATTAATATAATGATAATAAATCATTCGTTACAAACTGTTCAAACTGCCAATGATGTTGGAAATAAATACAACATTGTTTCGTGTTCAATTTTAAATGGAAAATAGACGCATTTAGTTCAAAAAAATTCAACAAAATTCCTAATACAAGATTAGGGAGGAGAGGTATTGTCCCAGAATCTTTCAAAAGTTCAGAACTAGTTTTGCATCAAATTTGAAATAAAAGTTTCAAAAAAATATTTAAAATGAAAATTTAACATTTAGCTGAGCCTAATATTTGCTTATTTTGCCTGAGAAAAACTCGTGACACTATCATTAGGGTAGATAAAATACCAATTAAACAGTTCCTATAAATATTTCATGAATATCTCTTCTAAATTATTTTTAAAATGTTGACATGAGGGGAGGGGAGGCAGAAAAAAATTCTCAAAATGGCGTCTGTACATTATCTTTAAGGAAATAATCCTTTTAATTTAGAGATGCATTGGAATTTGACTATACTTGTATGTACATTGCTGAAAAATTAATGGTATTTAATATTATGAAACTTGAATTCTGTTCCTACTATTACAGATAATTCTGGACACTGCTATTAAATCTATAAAAGGAAGAGTAAACAAAATTATGAAAAATAATTTTGTTTTGTTTTTAACAAACTTTTTCCAACACTATTTCTTATTATGATTTACTTATGCACCTTTGTACTGTTTAGTTGTTGCACATTAGAATGTTTTCTTGCATTGTAGATAAGACATCTAACTTCGTTCATCATTCTAGTGTCAAACTTATTAATTTGTAGAACAAGTAAAGTGTTTCAATTTGAAGTTACAAAAGGATAATTGAAAGTAACTTAACCTCTTCTTTTTTGAATAGTTTGCTCTTCTACACATATCTTTGTTTTATGTTTCTGTCAAATTGTAGTTGCACGCAACATCTATAATACATTAAATAGTTTATGTACAGAGAGTTCATGATGATTTATTAATCAAATGAACTAACGTCTTTGTTATCATTAGCAGTTTAAACTACAAAACAATATTCTGAAGAAATGCAATGCATGATATTACAAGGATTTTGTACTTACTTCTTGGAATAATCTAGGTTAATTATAAGGTTAAATATATATATATATATGTATACATGTAGATTATAACCTAGAAACAATTGTAATTTCTATTAATTTTCCATAATTTTAGAAAAAGAAGGGACTTTATATTCTAAATCACTATTTGCTTCATGAATTTCTACAAATTATTAATTTGAATTATAAAATTGGACGTAGTTATCATTAGGCTTGCACAACTATTCTGTTTTATCAAATCAACAATTCAATATTACATTGCTTTTTTACAGATAGTTTGGGGTGAAGAGTAAATTCGTTTGTTGGTTGTGTTTATTTGTGAATCATTATTAAGAATTCATTCGTTAAAATATATTAAAATTGAAGAACTTATAGTAAAATATCAGCACAAGAGACTTCTTTTACTTTGTGTGTTCAAAATAATTGAAAAAATTTTAACACTTCTTGTACACTTCAATATTTATACTTCAAATGGGTCTGCATTATTGTTTATATCAAATCTAAAAGTCTGGGGAGAAAGGTCATATTGCATGATTATACCATCTAACTATCAACTATTGAATTAAACTGGATGTATCATGTTGCAGTCAGTAGTAAATATTTTCCTCTGCGTTTTAAAAATATGTAGACTGCAGAACTATGACTTCTAAAATCCTATCTCCCTTTATGTTGATATTTTATCCATTTTCTTTTCTATATGCTATCTTTGCCATTATTTATATTTTTCACATCTACTCTTTTCTTCTTTTCCTTTATTGCATTAGTAAGCAATTATTAAATAGGAGAAAATAGTATTTTGAGAATTTCTTATATGGAAAAAAATGAAGAAAAGAAATTAACATGCACAGCATAGAGATAAAATAGAGATTTTGTTTGAAAGGAAATTGAAAATGAAGTCTATTATTGACTTTTTTCTGAACTACTTTACTAGAAGTGATAATGTATCTGTGCAATTTGCCAAAAAAGAAATTGAAATGCCCGTCTTCCTCAATACAGACTATTGCATGTCCTGAAAGTGGCTAGCAGGTTTACAAGTAGCTCATCTTCTGGTTCCCAAGAAGCAATTTCTGCACTTTGTGTGCCTAATCAATCTGTTCCTATAGAATTACCCTATTATCACAACATTCCTTTCCCTCTCCTTCCTCTTAACATATTTTTCTAGGATTTTTGAATTTTTTGTGTGAAATATGTGCATTGTTTTGCCTTATTAGATGAAAGGAGAGAAGAAGAATGAAATATTATTACATACATGTTCATTTCTTTACTATTCACAACTGGCCACTACAGAGTCATGTGCGAGTTGTAACATTTTGGACATTTGCAGAATTTAATAATACAATTCAGAATAATCTT